CAGGTAGTGTAGACTCAAGTTTGTTCAAATCATGACCCCCGGGGGTAGGGCAGGGCCACAATGGCCGACCAAAGTTTTACATAGAAATATATAGGAAAATTCTTTAAAAATCTTCTCAAGAATAACAAAGTCAAAATTGATCATATTTATACGGAAGTATCCTCAGGTAGTGTAGATTCAAGTTTGTTCAAATCATGACCCCCGGGGGTAGGGCGGGGCCACAATGGCCGACCAAAGTTTTACATAGAAATATATAGTAAAATTCTTTAAAAATCATTTTCTCAAGAATAGCAAAACCATAACTGGTCAAAGGTTTACTTTTGGATTTAAACTTTTCAATAATAAACCAATTTCTACTTTTTTTCTAGCTACAGTGCTCAGGTGAGCGATGTGGCCCATGGGCCTCTTGTCTTTTGTTGTCCCCCCGATTTCGCGAAAGCCAGGGGACATTAAATCTCATTCGCCTGGTAGAGCGTTCGCTTCGTGATCATGAGGCCCGGATTCGATTCTCAGTTGCGGCGCTGCGTCTAACCTAAGGCGTAAACATAAATAGTTACTGTTCCTTCGCCAAGTGCTCGGCATTAGAAGTGAAAGTCACGGGTCCTTCGGATATGACCTTAAAGACATAGGTCCCGTGTCACGTTAGACGTTGGCACGATAAAGAACCCTCACTGCTCAATGGCCCTGAGTGCCGATTATAGGTCTAAATTTGAAGCCCTTCATCGGCATAAGGTGACGTCTCTAAATGAGTGGAAAAAATTCTCGAATAGAACGTTAAACAACATACAATCAATCTCATTCGTTTGTCAGTCTGTAGTCCCGTCCGTCGGTCACAAAAACTTTACCCTTAGTCATATCATCTTTTGAATGAGAAGAGATAGGGCTTTCATGTATTATTCATTATACAGTATATATCTTATGCATTTATCAATGATTATACAACTCAACACTGCTCTCATTGTATGTAATGTGTCCCTGTTTGTACAATGTAAATCTTTTTTTGCTCCTCCGGGGGCCCAAAATTTGACTAATAAAATCCTCTATCTTGTATCGACCAGTCACTTCAGTCCGTTGCTTCTAGTCATGATAGAATACATGGAATAATTGTCAAACAATTTCATCAGAAAAAAATTGGCTAAACACTTAGTATGAAATATGTTGGTCAACATGCAACATAATGACATACTGTTTTTGCAAAAAATGCCACGACTTTAACCGAAAATATTTCCATTCAATAAAAACGTATGATGCCTTTTTTGCCTCTTAGAAATTTTGGTACTCGCAATTGATAGTGTTCCGAACTAAAAATGTATCCCCCTTCTATCTTTTGAAATTGCTTCCTATGGGTATTTATATAATTAGAGGAAGTCGAAGATAGAGAGGTTGAAATCACTTTTATCTTTTAGTAAAATTGTGAGTGTTTCATAAACATCTTTCTCTAGTATAACATCCAAATGTAAAACAGTTAAGGCAGCTTCTGACATGAGTTGATAGACGAATGATTTACTGTCCCTGCGCTTTCAAAAATATCCTTGCATTAACTTCAAAAATTCTTTCGTGTGTTTTGGCGCTCGTACCCCCTTTCATTGTGAATAGTTAATAGTTAACTTAGTAATTTTAGGAACAGAATTTATTTTGAATTTTAATTGAGGTTGTTAATTCAAATACCGGGGTAAGAAATAATATCAATATTAATGTTTAAGAACATTTCAATTCAAGACTTCTATGCTACTTGAGTGAGGCAGGCAGTCAATTCTGTAATATTTTAAAATATTTGTTATCCACAGGATAATAATAACACAAGTTATCAAATCCGTAATTACACAGAGTACCCCCGTCCGAAAATTACACTCATGTACACTTGAAATCAGATGAATTCTTTATTTTTTTAAAGTCACAATTGAACATAAGAGATAGCTTGATTCAGGTTTAAAACGATGCATGTTTAAAAACATGTTTGTTATATAATGCTATTTAGTGTTTAACATGCTATTTCTTCGCCCTATTTTTGCTTTGGAAAAAATACTTTTACTTCAATATTGCCCATATGGTTCTGGACTTTAAAAAGTATTAAATCCAAATAAAAAAATAAACAACAGACTGATTTATTAATTTAATTAACATGTAAAACTTTTATCTAAAAGATAAATTCCTACCTTCCTCATGTCCGGATATTATAGATGATGAATTGTCCGTGGTTGGCAAAGGGGAACCTACCGCCAAAAAAATATTATAACAAAACTTTAACACATAACAAAGGTTATAAATACGGTGAATTCGTCCCTGTACATGTAATTCCTGAACTTTTCGTCATATCCCTGGTACCTGTTTTTTAAGTTTTGACCAAATAATCTTAATAAAATTAAAACATGCATAATATGAAGGAATTTTGAAATATCTTTAAAATTGAAATTTATATTAAATAAAAGTGCCTACAGAGGTGCTTGAAAATGCGTTTACCTTAAATTTTTACTTACATTCGTTTGATATTAAAATACACGCAAAAACTGAAACTCCAAAGATAACCTTCATTTTTGTCATCTTGGGGAAACTAAAGGACAAACGAGAAAATTTAAGGGATTGGTAAATTTTCTCTATTTACTTTTGTCACAAACCGGGCTCGGTTATATCTAGATGTGTCAGAGAGGGTGAACAGTGAAGAAATTACAACTCCTTTGTTTACAAAATATCCGGTTCAAAGTTTTTCTTATCTTTACTCAGACGAATTTATGGTAGCATCAAACGTCAGAAAGATTCATGGATGTTATCGAGAAAAAAACCCCTGATAAACCTCAGTGAAGATGATTTAAGTATTGGTGTTGATACACACTTAGGCATTACTAAAATAGTCTGCATATACTAATTTTTTAAAAAGAAAAATTGTACCCGTCTTCAGTTAACGATCTTAATGAATACAAACTAATATGACTTCTCTTAATTTCTATATCTACAACATGCAAGTAAAATTTACACGATTCTTTACAGTGCATTTATTTTTCACTGCATAACGCTTCCATCTAATTAATGCATAGACTTTTTCAAGCATTTATATAACATCACATTGTGTCTATGGGATCCAGTACTGGAATGCAGTTTACCACTTAGGTTTCATTACAATGAATTCGAAGTTAATTCTACACATGACAGTTGAGTAAAAAATGCACCTTTCAAAATAAAATATATACATTTGTGGTATCTTTCCACTATATAAACATACAGAGAGAAAATATCTTCAATTCTGTATGAAGTTTGTCAGAGGTCAATACATGGCCGAATCACACGGTGCAATAATATCTACCGTTACTTATAAATATAAAATGTCCTGCTTTTCATGTATAAAAATGAACAAAATAAGCAAGTGAAATAATTGTTTTATTTAAAACGTAAACAAGTACTTCATACATTTTTGGCGATCGATTTAACCTGTGTACATAGAGAATATACCGATAGAAGCTAGCCTTTGTTTACAAGTTGTATGTCACTTTTGTCGGTGCACTGTCTATAACGTTCATCCTTAATTTTGTTAGACCTTAAGTTAAATCTTCATGATATATGCAAAAACTCTATTGTTTCATTAAATTCTACTCACGATAAATGTGTAAATCTGTTGGAAAATACCAAAGCATTGCAATCACGACATGAACAGCTGAGAAAACCTCGATCGGCGCTGTCGTACTTCAGTGTAAACCGTAGCCAGTGTCTCCGTGTTAACATCATACATATGCCTTTAGTTACTAATATCGTAGATTAACTGATTTTGATGAAGTTTTATATTTGATTGCAAATAAACTGGCTCGGATAAGTATCTCAATCCATCGGATCCATCCATCCCTTTCAGGCGACCGAAATTCCTCCAACTTTTTATCATTCATTCTCGGACGTGTTTCTTGTGTCTTTTCAGCATTAATGATCAATTTTCACAAATTAAAATATTCCCAGACAAGAATCTGTTCACTATCACTGATCACAAGTAGCCTTTAACAAAACATTCCCTTCAAAATAGAATTCTTAGCCTCACGAATTCGAAGCGTAACCGCCTTTCAAGCCGATTTACACCTTGCGAACTTTTGACGGAAATCTACGGCGACCGGTTAGTGAAATATTTATAACCGAATATATTTAATTTTATATTTAATTGTCCATCTCAAATGTATATATAAGAAATAAATAACAAGTTTATAAACTTCAATGGGAATTGAAGTGGGTCGGTACGTGATCAAATCTTCTGAGAAGGCCTTCGGCCTTCACAGGATTTGATCATGTGACCGACCCAATTCAATTCCCACTGAAGTTTATAAACTTGTTATTTATTTCTTAATTGTGCAGTTTTAATTAGAGCCTACTTTATTCAGAATAATTTTTTATTAATATACAATTTTTCTGTTTTATTTCAATACCTTTTAGTATCTGTGTAATTAAAATTTTACAGTGTCTTACTCATAGTTTTAATTATTGTTTAAATACTATTTGTTAATTTCGTAGAAAAGTTTGGGTATGTACATGTAGCAATCTAAAATACTCATTATAAACATATATAACATTATAAAATACATAAATTATAAATTTACTGTTTTATTCTTAATTAATTTCGTTAATACAAGAGTTATCACAAATGATCCTTATCATAAATCCATTCCAAAATAGTTTGGAATCAACAGGCAATTCAGGATATTCACATTTAGATCAAAGAAAACTGAATTAGACATTAGATGAAAATTTGTTAAATATTTAATTACAGGTGTTAATATCCACTTAATATTAAACAATTTTACTCTCAAAAAGATGCCTTAAATTAGCTATGGAAGATGATTTTTTCCACTCAAGTTCTGAAAAAACTTTTAGCCCCATATTAAAGTACTAGTTGTGTAATTTCCAAAACTGTTTCATTTTCCAGATTTGCTTGAAAAATAAGGAAGATACAGATATTTTAATATTGGACCTTTCCACGTCCAATTTGAAAAAAAACTGTTACCATTTTTTAAAAAATAGAAAAAAAAAAATATGGTTCAAAAAATTTATTTCATATCAATTGTGTCTTTCTTTACCCTTTACAAAGTACTTTTGGATCTTTCACAAGGCACAGGATACCTGTAAAAACAAAATAATACACTGAATTAGTAATCAACCAAACCTTTTTTGTGCCTGAAAAACTTAAACATGTTAAAAATCACATTTTTCATTTTTAATCTTTGCAAATACACAATAACTTCACACATAAAAAATATTTTATTGATATTAGAATGAATCAATATTGTACTTTTAATATGTTTATGATTTTTTTTAATGAATATACTAATAAAATTAAACATCAATTTCAAACTATTCATGTGTTTGATAATGACAAAATACCAGATGTTAGTAATTGGTAGAAAGTAATGATAAGGCAGTGTTTTAAAAAGCAAAGAAGTGACACTGTACTATCTGTACAGCAGGATAAAGTAAAAAAAAAAGTAAAATAAAGATGAAACTCCTTGTTTCATCTATTTCAGATCCATGCTTGCTAAATGCACTCACCACCGCTGGAATTACTTCAAGTTTGTTGGCATGATAATCATTCATCAGTTTATATGTATAAATTGCTGTCGAGTCTGTCACGTTTCCTTCAGAATCAAGATCATTGTCATAAACAATATTTAAGAAACTTGGAAAGCCTGGAACAGTACTAATAACTCTTCCCACGAATATTCCTTCCTCGAAAGTGTGTTTCACTTTTTTTCCTACTAGAAATGGTGGTGGTGCTCTATTTTGCTGAATTGTACTATCCATGGTAGCAGCATCCTGTATCAGTTTTTTTTTACATTTTCAGTCAACTGTACTATTGATAAAGGTTTTCCTTTAGAAGTAACATTAAATATACTTTTATCTTTAACAACTTGTTTTAGAACAGTTTGGCGAAAACGTATTTGTGAGACAAGAGCTTTTCTTTTTTGGGATATTTTTGGAATAGATTTAAGAGTTTGTTCAACTGTTTTGTTGCTCTGCCACAACCCATAATAAATTATATCTGATGTTTGTTTCTCTCTCTTTTTAAATAACCTCTCTTTCCTTTTCACCACCTCTTCCTGTTTTTTCTTCAGTGTCTCTAATCTTTGTCTTTCAATGTCCTTGCATCTTTCTTTAAATTTTTCTCTTATTTGTCTTCCTTGTTTTTTTTTTGCCAAATTCAACAATCGATCTCTCTCCTTTGGAAGCAGTTGTTCAAGCCAGTCACTGGTCTTATTGAACGCAAATAATACAAATGCTTCATTAGTGAGTGTTGTCGCATTTGGTCTGTTTCTTATCAGGTAGTCCAACATTCCAAATGCCCTTTCGGGGAGTTTATTGTGGGGAATAACTGAAGAAGTTTATTTAATCCTTTCTGAATTTAATTCATAGAACATTCCTCCTGGTAGCTGCTCTTTCATAGCAGCATTCAATATCTTATAAAATGAAGTAAATAAATTCTGTGCTACTTGCACAGCAAAATTATCGATTTTTTCATCTTTTAAACATAAACAATCATAATATCTATCTTTTACAATAAATTCCTCTTCAAAAGGGTATCTCTCTGCGTTTATAAAATTTATAGCACACTGACTTTGCTCCTCAAAAAAATTGAGCAACTGTTCATAATATTCATTCATAATCCAAAACATGTTTATTCCTCTCAATAGCTCGCCAAAATGGAGCCGTAACCAATTTAGATATCAAACCAAGCACTTTACATTCAGCTATGACTAGGCTGGACTTACATAATTGGAGAGTTGCTTTTTGTATGAAATTTGTTGCACCATGGACATTGTTCAAGAACTCCAGTACATGATTCTTGTGAAAAAATGCAAATTCTGCCATTAAAAATATAACATTAAATCTATTACCTCTAAAAGAAATAAAGGCATTCTTTTCCTTTTGATCTACACAATAAGTACAAAAATTTGCATAACAACCATTTCTTTCATCTACACCTTTTGCAAAAAGTTTGGAACAAAATCTCAAAAAAGTAATAACATGTCCATCTAGTTTTGAAATTTTGACATCATCATTTTCTTCAAAGTCTAAGGAATAAAAATCCTTAAATGATTCTGAACTATCTATTTTCTCATACATGCATTCAAAACTCTTAAGAACAGATGCTGAAGATTCAGCAAAGTTAACAAGCAAATGTAAACCACAGAAAAAAATTGTTAACTCTGCAACAAGCATCCTGCTTTTCAACATCTAAATCATTCCAGGAGTTCAAAATTTGAGGCATGATTTCTTTTCTATATTCTACTAACAAATCAGTAAAGGCAATGTTAGTTTTAGCTCTGTCTGACATAAAATTTCTTAGGTTACACAATATTTCATTACCAACAGAGTTTTTACCGTCTTCAGAACAAATCTCAGGATATGTCAGAAAGTAAATCTTTGAAAGTCTCTAATGTAGTATGAGAAGACTTGTTACACATATCTCTTAAACCCAAACAATAAACATTCTTTTCATCATCTGTGATCAGAAAAGTGTTATATGTTTTGCCAAATTTGTTAGGGTCATCTGAATACAGAGTTGTATTTCTTTCTTTCTGCAACTTTTCTCCAACATGAGCACTACTCACAGCTATTTTTCCAGTAACTATTGAATCTACAGTTTTGCGAGATGGACAGTTTTTAAACATTTACCAACTAATGATAAAGAGGTATTAATTACAGAATTTACATTACATGTTGCTACATTAAGACTTGTTAATTTCATAACAGTTTGTCTGTACGCAGGAATATAAGATCTGCTTACACTATCAAACACTGTAACACTTTCATTATCTTTTAGTAAGTTTTCAAGGTATTGGCAACTTGTATCTAATTGATGTAAATCAGTTTTAAGTTTACTTATTGTTGACTCTCTGTCATCCAGTTGTTCAGTTCATTCATTCATCTTCATCCTTAGAGTCTCATTCTCTTTTTTCAAACTCTGATTTTCTTGTCTCATTAATCTCAATTTTTTCACATAATTGCAAGAAATGTTTTGCATATTACCAAATTGTTCTCGCAATTTTTTAATCTTGGTTTTCTCTCTCTGAAAATGAAGTTTATTGATTCTTTCTTTCTGTTTAGAGTTCCTGGCTTTTAACTTTAATTTACTGGTATGCAATAAAATTTTAGAATTTTGTTTTTCATGTTCTTTCTTGAGTTTTTTTCTGTTTTTTTTTTTGTTGCTCTTCTTGATCTGATAACTTTCTCTTTAGAGATGAGATTTCAATATCCTTTTCCTGTTGAATTTTGTGTAAATCTGTGGCTAATGATGTTGCCAAATTCATATCATCCGACTCCGAGTTTTGTTTATTTATAAAGTTATCCTTTCTAGTTGGACACTGAAATTTTTCTTGCAAAAAAGTATCCTTGAGAAGTCCCCTCTTTTTCTGTGTACTTTTCTTTAAACGATGCAAATTTGTAATTAAACTCCTCAAATTAACAGGGTGTAAAACGATTTGTTGGAACCAATGACACATTTTCTGTTCTTTGATACCTTTCGATTTTACATAATCAAATAAATCTAAAGCCAGTCTATTTGTTAAAACTATTTCAAATTCAGAAAGGTCTTCAATATCTAACAGTGGTAATAGTTTGTCAAAAGTAGTAATACTCATGATATTTAAATTAGTTACATGAATGCATAAGCAAACTGCTTTTCAAGTTCTTTCAGGGTTTCTCTGGTGTTGATGGACTCTCGCATTCTAATAGGCTTCAACCTCATCTCTATCTCCATGTACATTGACACTACAGTTGGTCGACTATCTTGTGACATGAAAAAGTTTTCTATGACCGTAAGAATACATTGAGCTTTTTCATCTTTCCCCAGGATGAGCTGCCTAAGAAGCACTTGCATGTTTTGTTCATTCATATTAAACTCATCAAAAGGACATAACAAAAGCATTTGTTGTACGAGACTTACTCTATCATCTAAACAACCATGCACTTCTCTACTACTCAGCATGTTTAGTACACTCTGGAAAGGGTTACTGCTTGGCCAGTTATTTCTCCTTCTGTAACTGTATGCCATTTTAGTAGTTGACAGTTTCACGATTTTCTTAAACCCTGTCAATGAAATGTGTAAAAATGCACTAAATTTAACTTTTCAAGTAATTCTAAAGAACTCTATCCCGCAATAAAATACCAAAAAGTCTTAAAACTTACTTTAAATTTGCACTGTACTGCTGTACACCTCCTTTCATCTCTGCAACACGTGTAACACTGTCACTGCCAAACAACAACAAAGGGCACGTAACTCCACACGACAGAAAATATAGGACCTATTTAATTAATTAAAACAATACGGGTTTGTTAAATTTTTCAAAAAGTTAATTTGTAAAGAAAACATGTCAAAGAATAAAAAAAATATTCACCATTTTATTGTATATCGCTTATTTATGTTTTTAAGATTTGTTAGAATTTTTCTTTAGAAAAATTTTCCCGCTAAAACTCGGAGATTAAGTATTTCTTTTAGATATACAAATGCGCCAATATGTAGTTAATCGATTTCAAGAACATTTGGAACTACTTTTTCACCCATAACAGTGTGCAAGGACGTAATCCGAGACCACCCGAAAAAAAACCCAACCAATTTCGCATACAAATTTAGGTTAAAAATCTAGAGTTATCGCTCTTTCATCTTCCGTCGCTACTTAAATAGAAAGCTCCCGTAGCCATCTGATCACTGATTGACAAATGAAGTCTATAAATATTTTTTATTCATATATGTCCATCATTCAAAGTTGCGTTGTACATCAGTAGGATTAAGTTTGCAAGTTTGGTTGAAATTGGCCCAATGTTCCTGGGGAGGATGAAATTGTAAAAAACTAACGACGACAGACATTGATGGACAAATTTTGATTCATGATGTAATTACGTGAAACGCAATTGTTCATTCATTCATTTATTCTCTCAAAAAACCATACAAATGGTATAAGAGGTACATATATACATATTTACAATAATTATGGACGAGCAGAGATTACAGGAGGACAGACAGTGTCAAAAATCTTTGTAATAAATATACACAATTTTCGTAAAAATGCTGGATCTGTACTTGTCATCAAATTACAGAATTTTATTATATTTGGGTGTACATAGTATTTCTGCAACAAAAAATCTTTTCGGATACTATATAATGCATGACATTCCAGTAAATAATGGAATTCGTCTCCTATCTGGTTATTATTACATAGATTGCACTTTCTTTCATTTCTTTCAACATTATTCCATCTACCCATCTCTATTGGAAGACGATGGTTACTTGTTCTGAATTTTGAAAAGATATTTCTAAATTTCCTTGGTAAAATAGTTAAATATTTTTCACATTCAAACTTTGTTTTAAAAATTCTATATGTAATACCTTTACTGGAATTATTCAAATCACTATACCATTTCTGTAAAAACTGATCTTTGAGCTTTTGGTTTATTGTGGTATGAAAATTTTGATTAGTCCAAATATTACAGAGACCCGTTGTATTAAGAATATTCTGTATGAAAGATATCCATGGATTACTAATCCCATTTTTAGTGTATTTATTATAAAGATGTAAATAAATAATTCTACAGATCTTATTCTCATTTCCATGTATCAGTTTTCCCCAGTAAGATATCATTCTTGTATAAATGCGCACATACATCGGGTAACGTCCAGTTTCCCCGTATACCATAAAACTCGGTGTACTAGATTTTAAGTTTAGAATATACTTCAAAAATCTTAAATGTAGACGTTCAATAATATCTATATTTTCAAATCCCCATATTTCACATCCATATAATAAAACAGGAACGACAACTTTATCAAACAGATCTAACTGACAGTCCAGAGATAGATTATATAAACGAATTTTTCTAATAATGCCGTACATTGCCTTTTGTGCTTGATTACATAAGTGTTTCTTGGCCTTTGAAAATGACCCTGATCTTGAGAATATAATACCAAGGTAATTGAAATCTTTTACAGTTTCTAAAACATCGTCATTGTATTTAAATGTATGTTTGGGTGGTCGTCCTTTTGAAAAAATGACAATTTTTGTTTTCTTTACATTAACATGGAGTTCAGCAAACTTCAAATCTTTATTGTTTACATTTGTTGTACTCTTAGTCAAACTCAGAAAAAATATTAAAAGCGAGATAATTCAACTAAAATAAATTAATTTGCAATGTCTAATGTCTATATTTTACATGTAGACAAATATTTAGATGTTAGTCAGGATAAAAAACGTAATTGTAATAATTTATAAATATAATTATTTGTATTTATTTGCAATTTCTTGGTCTATGTTTTATATTTAATTAATATAGTAAACATATTTAAATGTTGTGTTGCACTGGGAGCTCTAGCTGACTATGAAACTTTTTATTAAAAATTGTCCTCAATACCATTATGGAATTTTGGTCCATTCAAAATTCGACACATACCGCAAACAAGAGGCCCATGGGCCACATCGCTCACTGAGCACTATGGCTAGGGAAAAAAAACAATGATATTGAAAAGCTTTAATGCATAATTATAAGTGGTCCCAGCCTACCCCTAAAACAGGGGGGGGGTGATTAGAACTTACTTGAATCTACACTAACAAAGAATGCTTACGCATTTATTTGACTTGCTGTTGCTTTTCCCTATAAGTGGGAAATTTGTCATTTTAGCCTCACTCAGCTCCAGAGGTCACGATTTAAACAAACTTGAATCTGTAGTTCCTGTAGTTCCTGATGATGTTTCATTATAAATATAACTAATAATTGCTTTGTTCTTAAGTAGAAGATTTTAAAATAATTGTCCTAGATATTCCTTTCTTTAATTTTGATCCTCCATTGTGTTCCCACCCTACCCCCAGGGTCATGATTTGTACAAACTTAAATCTTTACTACCTGAGGATGCTTCCATATAATTATGACCAATCATGGCTTTATTCTTCTAGAGAAGAAGAATTTTCAAGATGTTTCCTATATATTTCTTTGTTTAACTTTGATCATTCACTGTGGCCCCACCCTACCCCGGGGGTCATGATTTGAAGAAACTTGAATCTACACTACTTGAGTTTGCTTCCATATAAATATGACAAATCATGGCTTTGTTGTTCTTGAGAAGAAGATTTTTCTATATATTCCTATGTAAAACTTATCTCCTAACCCACTCTGAATTTCATTCCTTTTCAAATGTTGCTCCGCTAAAATTGTAAATGTTTATTTGACAGAGTATACGAGGGATGATCAAAAAGTAAACGATATATCTTAGGTATTTGATAGTTATATTATTGTTGAAATATTCAAGTATTTTTCAAAGTGTAAATTGGAGGTCTTTGATAGCATATTGCTTAATTAAAAACACATTCCTTTTCAAACTTGCTAATATATCACTGGGCAATATAACAAGTATCATATTTAACCATCTGCCTTCCTTCACTAAAACGATCTATCCAATCATTGATTGAATTTGTAGGAAGTCAATTGTCTTAATAAACTATGAACAAATTCTTATATGCTACTTCAAAGGCATTTTTAAGATATACTAGTACCATAAATATTTTAGTCGTTTGTTAAACGAGTTCCACTGAGGCAACCATTTTTCGTCACAAGAACCTGCATAATGACGTCATTATGAGCAAAACTTTATTCAGCATGTGCTATTTTATAGAACTTGTGTTTGGCTATGTGTGCACCAAATTTGTTTCTAATCTGAATTGTGGTTTTGTAGATATAAAGATAGTTCGCGAACTTTTTGATCACCCCTCGTACTAGTAGGTCATTCATATCGATTTTATGTGTTTAATTTCTTTGTGTTTCATTGGTGATAATTAAAATTTTGATATATATTATAAGTTATCTGTGGCAAACTTACAAACTCTTAATTCTTAACTTTGATGGTGCTCATTTTTCCTTACCTGGAATCAAAGAGTTTAAGATTTTTTTCTTTGATATCAATAAGTACATTATTTAACAACTGTTCGATAATAATACTAAATAAATTACTTCAAGCCATACAATAACACATTTCCTCTTTTAAAAGTGTTCATACTATTTGAAATATTTTGCAACTGTAATTCTCTTCTACATTTAAAGATTGTTATGTCCCCCCATATTAAGAAGAGGTCTGGAAAACAAAATTCTGTGCTAAAAATAAACCACGTGCTGCTATCCATGAACTACTTTCATGGTTCTTTACACTCTTTTTGAAGACAACGATACATTGTTTTGAACTTGAAATTATCATTTAAAAGTGCAAAATTTAGACATTTTCTCAACAAATGGTTGTAGAGAGAACATTGATGCACAGTTTGCATATTTTTTTGGATTTTTTAAGGCTCTGCTGAATTCTGTAGCTGCGCAGTTCTAAGGAGCATATCAAAAGCATTTTTCTGCAAAAGTATAGATTATATATGCACAACATGCATTCAATTATGAATATTTATTGTATCTTTATCATAAGGACTTAAAATTTGATCAAAATATGATGTATTTTAGCCATTTGGAGAAATGTTTACATTTTGTTCTCACAGCACTAAAGGTGGCCGTACATCCCCCTTAAGTGCAGTCATCCTTTAATCGAAAGATCTACATTGTTTGATTTAGTTTGTGGCCCAGATTGTTCCCTGTTGTCTGCGTTTAACAAACAGTACTCTGTTTCTTACATGCTATAACTATTGTCGGCATAGAGGAAAAAACTCTCATTGAATCTCATGCCATATAAAAATAAGTTGTCTATTAAAATCTAGTGTGTAATGTCCCTTTGTACTCTTTTTTCGCGTCTCTGATGTATACAAACCATATTCAAAACAATTTATTATATATCCGTGCGCCAGTTACGTATTTGACGACGACATTTTCATCAAACTCAATTCCAAGAACACTTTGAAAATTATGACACCAATCGTCTGTTTCCAATGCTATTTATATGAAATTTTGACACATTATTTAGATATTGATTCTGATTTCACCGAATTAAATTTGAGTTCAATGTTTTACATAGTACTAAAGATTTAAAGCAAATGTAATTATTATAGTTGTATGCTTAAATTATTCCAAATTTTGTTCGTGCGCCGACAGACCTTATCGGTCCTAATATTATAAATATGAAAGATATATATTTAAGAATTCACAATTTTATAGAACATTGAATATAATATGCCTATGCAAAATTTGGTAAGTGTCGGTTGCATGTTTTAAAAAGTTATAAATATTGTCTACGACTTTTTGGGACAACCCTCGTATGTACAATAAAATGCCCGAATGAAACGTATGGAGATAACGAACAGTATTCCAGATCAAA